GAAACGATCTATCACGGCGATAATGTTCGAGAGACAATGAAGAATGTAATATCTACGATCCGTCACTGTTACTTTCCGTTATTATGAAGTTCCAACGGAGTGATGGACACTGTGCAATATCGCGAGCTCCACGCCCTTGCACGTTTTCCGCTACAGATGTCACACGATACGGGACACCAGCTCCGAAATAACACTGAATTTATAGCGATGCTGTCCATCACCCTGCGCCGCTGTTTCGCGCTTGTTTATTGCAAGGCATGCACTTTTAATAGAAACATTTTCACAGCGAAAAACCATGCCGGAAATTCAAGCAGCGGCCGTTGCCGCTATCGCGTTTATATTGTTATCGGTTTCGTACTTTCGCCTCCGGATAGAGAACATCGCAGGAAAAATGCTGATCGACGATTTCTCCGTGGAATATAAAATATTTCCGGCACGAGTGAAATGGATCAAATGAGATGCGATAGCCCGACAAGACAGAATTCCTCGTAACTAGATTCTTTCGCTTTAAGGGAACGAGTACCTGCGCGAAAATGAAGAACTCGGAGATCTGTGAAGCTTGTACTTACTCGTGAAATCATCTTCGACGTATAGCGATAACTTGACGTTCAATGGCTGGCACACCTGAAACGGAAGAAAAATGCGCAACGAACGGAATCGAGCAGTGTATTTGAGAGAAAGAAGAGGAAAGAAGGAAGGCGTAGGAACCGCGGAGAGATTCTGTTTTCCCCGCGTTGCTTTTATCCGAAGGCCTCAGTATTCACGCGGTATCGCTGTGGATCTTTCATCGTCGAACGTACGAAGAAACAGGTACCGTTCCGCGGGGTAATGTTTCACGGGCGTGAAAGAACGGCTGGTTCACCGCTCGTTTGCATTCTCGTCGGCGTGGTTGCACGCCCGGTTCCGCGTTCGCGAGTTAATTCAGATCGTGCGGCCGAACAACGGCCGGGGCTTCTTTGTATTCGACGCAGCCTCTGGACTTCTGATTAGCGTTAACGGCGGTAGCCAGTCAGTCAGTCAGTCGATGGGTGTACCTTCCTTCGTCGGGTGTACAGAACGCCTATAGGCGTCATCCCTGCCGATCGATCTGACGGAGGAGATCGATCGTGTCCCGTGGTAAGTGCGTGCGCCGTCCCGGTCACCCTCCGCCGTTCTCCTCGTCGAAGATGGAAAATTCGACGATGTTCTCGCGAAGATCCACGGAAATTCGAACCTGTTTGCCTCGAGAAAAGGAGAGGGGCAGGACGGCAGATGAGACTGGAAAGTTGCGCTGTAAGTTTCCGGTTTTTCTCTCACTTTGGATCGATTATTCTTACTCGAACGGGTGTAAGAACAACGTTACCTGATAGAGGGATGTCGCGGTAATTGGGTTTGTCGTCGCGTTGAATTGGAATTTGGGCGTTGGTTTGGTCACTCTCGGACAACTGAGAATGAACGTTCTAATTACGTCAGCAATGACGTGGAAGAAACTTGGAAACGCGTTCTACCCTCCGATGGTTGTGTATTTACAGCGAGCCGCGGGACATTTGCATTTGCGGCTGAAAGCCCTGAACTCTTCCACTCTCCGCCGTCATTTTTCACCTCTTTTTCTTCCGTATTAAAGAGCCAACCGTCTGCGTGATAAAGGAGAGCCAGCAGAGAGAGAGAGAGAGGAACACGGAACATAAGGAGAGGAGGAGGAAGCAAAAAGGAAAATACGTCGGGGGAGCGTTTACATTCGTCCGAAGTTAACTTCATAGTAAATTATAATTCTGAAAAAGTATGGCCGAGGTATGTCCTCGTTGCATACTACGCCAAGCAATTTTATTCGTTTCCTTTCCTTTTTTCACCCCTTCTTCCACCACCTCCCCCTCCCCGTCTTTTCCTATCTGCCTTTTTCTACAGAGACGAACTTGCATAATATTCAGGCCGAACTTTCCTATTTATCGTACATTCGTCCATCGTAATTGAGGCTCTGCCTTGCCTTTTCGCTTCTCGCGGAGTTCTCTCTCTCTCTCTCTCTCTCTTGAGGAGCAACTTCTGTTGCGTCGTCGGGGGTAATTTGTGTGGAATCGCAAAGAAATTTCATTCTTCCCCCCGTCGATGTCAATGGGAACTTTATGAAAATTCAACTTTTCCTCCGATCCCGCGACTCTCCTTTGTCAGAAAGGAGACAGTACAGATCCGTTAAAAACATTATTTCTTTAAAAAGTTGGCCGTACCCTCTTAAAATCGCGATATCAATCAATCAACCTGATTCATAAGTCGCAAAGTTTTATCAGCTCGATGCGTAACGGATAATGATAGCCCAAAGAGGGTCCGACTCTTTTTTATCTGAAAGAGACGAGGCAGATTCTTCAAAGATGTTCTTCAATATTTTTTCTTAAAAAAAAAAAAAAAAATCAATCAATTCGATTTAAGTCTCGTCGATCCGTCAAGGACTTTGGATATCGTCCGAGGAAGATCCAATAAAAGTATTTAAATATTCGTTTCTCAAGTAGAACCTGTCTTTTAAAAATCCGATCTTGTCAATCAGTCCGACTCAATTGACAGAAAAGATGCAGCCGGATTTATCGTGAAACAAATAGCGGTAACCTAAAGAGGGTCAGTGACCTACCCGAACGTGACCCTGTTTCTCTCCGAGTTCCTCTTCTTTTTTTTCTCTTCTTTTCTCTCTATACGCGGCACGATCTCTCGCTGAGGCTCTTTAGCTTCCTGCTTCTTTCCTCCCTTTTTAACGGTTTCTTCCTTTCACGTGCGAACCACCCTTGCCCCTGTTCTGCTCGTCTGCCTCGTGAAACGGGCCATTTTTGTTGCGTTTCTCTGCGTATTGTTTGAAATTTCGCGAGTCCTCGACGCTGCCTCTTTGCGCTCTTGAAGAATTCAGTCTTCTTCTCCCTTTATTAATATCAACGTTTCAGTAGGCGAATGCCAACTACCGTTTACCACTTTCGGAATGAGATTTCGCCTCCCCATCCCCGGCCGGTAGGTAAAGCGGGACGCGTTCCTCAGCGATGAATCGTTGATTCCGTCTGTCGAGTAAGTTTCGCGAATGAAAGGCAGAAGGGGAAAACCTTTTCCTTTTTTTTATTTTCGCTAGGACGAACGGCGGCGACGCTTTCAACGACGTCACGGTAAAACGATGATGCCTTTCAGCCGTACGAAAATTGCACAAGAACGTAAAATCCATTCACCCTTGACGCGAAAATACCACGGAGGAAACGATACGCGCAGTGGAGTTGATTATTAAGTAGCATTGATTTCAAAATTTCGAAGAGAACGTATCAAAGATACAACGAAGTTTTTCCCTTGGTTCAGCTAAATACGTGTCTCGCGTTTGATTCTCAAGTTATTCGAAAGTTGATGCCGTTGTTCTCTCCTTATTTTTCTTCTCTTCGACACGCGATCGTACATGTTTCCGCTTTCATATATTCCTGCCGATCTTCTTGCGACGTTGCTCCACTTGTTTTCCTTTAAACGTGCAATCTCCTTCCAACGCTTCTCTGACGTTTATACATATCGCGAGAGAATTTTTTTTTATATGATAAGCTGCGAGAGTCTTCAACGTTGACAGAAATCCATTTCTTTTTCATTTGAACTTTCCAGAAAGAGGAGGAAGTTTCTCTTTTTGTTTTTTCGCGGTATTGCGCCTCGTTCCTCGCGCATTCCTCTCCCGAGATTTCGGGATGTTCAAGGGTTATAAATTAAACGGCCTGGCGCGAGAGCAAATTAATTTCCTTCCGGAAATCCTCGGGAACGGGAGAGAAGTCCCGGATCTGCAGCGACGACAGTTTCTTAGCTCGTGACATGGTTGTAATGACGGAAACGTAATGAGCGAAAACGGTTGCTGAAAAAAAAAAGAAAAAATAAGAGAGAGAGAGAGAGAGAGAGAGAGAGAGAGAGAGACGAGCTAGCCTCAACCTGCTTCGCCCCTTTGAGAATCCTCCCTTTCTTTTGTGACTACATGGTACTTTATGTTTACGGGCTCGGCGAAAAAGCATCTCGTTTCTTCGTACACTCTGCCGATGCTTCTCTCGTTCAACCCCCTCCCTCTCTTTTTTTCGCTCTTTTGAACTGCTAAGTATCCACACTTCCATTGTACCGCCGTCTCTGTTCCACGCTCGGGCATTTTCACTTTCTCTGCCTCCGCCTCTAAACCCGAAAACAACAGCCAAAAAAAGAAAGATTCTTAAAACGAGCTCGCATTTGACGAACAAAAAAAAAAAAAAAAAAGGAAAAAGAAAAAATCCATCGCAAATGGAGTTGGCGAAACCGCATCTTCAAACTCTCGGACGTGGCGGCGCGCGACGAATTTCACAAAGAACGGTCGCGCTACTACCCCGCGCACGGCTCTTTCTTTTTTTCCCTACCCTCGCGGATACCAGCGGAGTCGGTGCTGGAAAACTCGAGCGATCACATGAAGGCGAAAGCAGGCCAGGGGGACGACCTACGCCAACCCTTTTCCTGTTTACAACAATCACTCGTCTCGCGAGCGTTGATGTCCGCAACCGGTCGAAAACCACCCTCTGCCTCCTCTGGAGTGTATTTTTTCCCCCCCATCGTTTCGCTCATCCCCCGTCGGCCTTTCTTAAGGACAGATAGCACACATATACACACGCGCAGAGAGTTTCTCGGTTCGTTCGTCCCTCCGGCACTCTCTGCTGGATTTCCTCGCCTCGCCAACTCTCTCTTTCTCTTGTCTCTCTCTCTCTCTCTCTCTCTATCTATCTCTCTCTCTCTCTCTCTCTCTCCCCCTCACTCTCACCCTCCTCGTCCCTTTCGATTCTCCCGCCCCCTCCCTTCCTCCCCCCTTCGACACTGTAGTCTCCCTATCGGTGTCCCACCACTCGACTCGCGTACCCTCTCTGTCGAGCCCTCCGCGCTCTGCTGTGCCTCTCTGCGCTCACGCTTTCCCTCTCTTTCTCTCTCGCTCCCTTTGCTGCCCGTCGGAGGGAGACGGGCTAGGACCGAGCGAGAGGGCAATAGCGACACACGGTGGGGCTGGCTCTCTCCGGTCTTGCGCGGCGCGCACCAGTCAACCCGGAGCCACGGTAGCGCAAGTACTGTGTTCGTCACGTTCAAGGGACAGTTACATCAGAAACGGCACGGCTCTTTTTACCGGTCTTTAAATAACGTTCGTGTGCAAAGTGTGAGATTCGCGTCGCGCGACTGACCCGATGTAACCGCACGCGGCCACGCGTCCCGTTCGTTCCCGTGCGTTGGAGAACGTGCAACCCCGGCGATTTTTCTTTCCTTTCCTCTTCTTTTTTTTTTTTCGTCTTTTTTTCTCTCAGTCCTCGCGTAGTATGTCGAAGTAGCAGTATATCGAATACGATCGAATCGAGTGCTTTAAAACATCGTGCCTACGCGTGCATACACACGATGCACGCATAGATATATATCGTAGTAGAGTAACGTTGGATTAAGGAAAAGTAAGAATTTCGAATGTAGACGTACGTACAAGGAGTCTAACGAGAGGGAAAAAAAAAAGAGGGGTATAAGGGGGTTGGTTGGAGATCCGCGAGTGGTGAGTGACACGGGATATACGCGTACACCGTATCTATAAATTGGACGACGGCGACACAAGGGGGTTGAAGCGGAAATCGGCGAAGTGGATCGTGGAGAACCGATGGCACGCGAGACAACGGAGTCATCCCCTTTGTCGGCTCGGTTCGATCGCGTTCTCAGCGATCCTCGTGCGTGGAAAGTCGCTGGGATGGGGTCGTGACTGTCCGCGAGTGTCAGTCGACGCCCCGGTCGCAACACGACGACAACCATCGTCGAGCATCGTCGGTCAGAGGGAAGAAAGAAGATCGTTGGCGGATCCTTTCGGGAAGCGTAACGAACGGTTACACTAGCCCCGTTATCGGACACAGTGCGACTCGCCGCGAGTGGCGGGGGAAAAAAAAAGTATCGACGTTTCTCAGCGCGGAGAGAGAGAGAGAGAGAGAGAGAAAGAAAGAAAGAGAATACTCTCTCACCCCCTTCGTCGCGAAAAGCGTGTGTAGTTCCCGGTGTATCCCCGTGGCCGGTTCACCAGTGAAAGTGAACGATGCGTCGAGACACACATCGGCCTCGACACACACACCGCTATTGTGACAGGGTTGCATTTCTGTGATAACGCGGCGTCGCCGCTCATCGACAACCTGGTGATTTTTTTTTACCATCGACAAAAAGTATCGGGAAGTCTGCTATCGGACGTCGTCTCCTCTGGAGGACAGCTCGTGTACAAGTGGTGGGTTTTCACGATTTTGCGTGTTTATTCTCCAAACGACTCGTCGTTTCGCTCGATCCCGAGAGACACTTCGATATATGTAATGATATATATATATATATATATATATATTGCCACGCGCAAGGGGAGGTTCGTTTTTCGTTCGGAAATTTTTCGTGGTATTTGGGACACCGCGATCGAGATGCAAGTGACGTTTTCGATCGTATTTTTAGCATCGATTACATTCACTAGGTAACGATCGGAGAAGCTATCTCGATGGTAGTGGTGCTCGCTTTGTGAGATATCTCTACCGTCTCCGCACGGTTGTTTACCGTGCCACTTTTCATTTTCCATCGACTCAGTCCGTTCCTTCTCACGTAAACCTACCTCTTTCCCAGTACGTAATTTCCACTCGCCCTCCACCCACCCTCCTGATTTTTTTCTTTTTTCTTTTCTTACACACGTCGATCCGTGTACGACGATCTCTCGTGATTCATTTTCTGCCGAACGCTCGACGACGCGCGCTCCTTTCATACGACTGTGAATGTTCCCCTGTTTTCTCGCCTCGTCTTTCTCTGGCTCGCGACGACGCGCCTTCTCTGGTTCGCGAGTGTTTCGCTCCTTCTCGCTCTCCTGCTCGCGCCGTCTTTTCCTTCCTCCCATCCCGCCCACACTCTCCCATTTACCTCCCGGTTATGGATATTATTAAGTAATACCTACGTTGCGCGCGCGGGGCGATACGCTCGCGGCCGATCGGCCGATGTGTGCGTGCGTGCATCGTGCGTGCGTGCGTGCGTGCGTGGCACAGCGTAGTTGCTCGCGCGTGCGCTGCCCGTTGGCAACGCACGCAGGCGAACGGGAAAGCGCGGGTTCTCATCTCGATTTTCGTCGCTGACACGCACTCGGATTACGCGCGATACCACGCCGCTTTCCTCTTCGTTCGAAGACTGCGATCTCTGACGACGAAAAATCACCCCGGATCGTAACGGAGCTCTCCGCTGCACTGTGAATTTCTTTTCTTGGAATTTTCACTAATTTCGAGAAACTGTGGATTTTAGATTTTTTAAAGATTCGTCAGAGTCCTTTCGCAATTACGTGGCGGACCCCCAGATCACGGTTATATCCCGTTATTCAGTTTGGTTGTGTGTTTCTTTACCCGTTAACCAGGTCGTCGCGTCTGTAAATAGGAGATTAAAATTAATCGAGATGCATTTTAATTCAGTCAGTTTCTCAGTCTTTGCAAATATTAACGTATAATTTAATGTATAATTTGTTTCAACGAGGATCGTCAGAGATCGGCTTGAATCAAATTTAGCAAAAGACGGTTAAACTGGAGTGTGATACAAAATTAAAAAGTTATCTGCAAATGTCCGAAAATAGTTGAGCTTGAAACATCGTGATTTTCCCCTTCGGGTCTCCATCTGTCCGTTTTTAATTAAATTAATCTGGAAATGTAGATATCTTCAGGATAACAGATTCTGAATATATCTGACGCAGGTTGGGCGTTATTAATTCTGAAAACTGTAAACCTATATAAAGTTTATCGGGTAATTGATACCCTGATTATTCCGAACTACATTCCGCAATGTTAAAATACCGGACGCGTAACATTCTTGCCCGTCGACCGGCCGTGTAGAAAATTAAATCGCAATCATAATCAAAATAGTTTCTTCCTAAGGTGTTTTTAATTGGTCGGACGTCAGCCGCTTTTACGTTTCCAATAAATATTGGTGGCCCACTTGTTACGCGGGCCGCGGTGTCGTTGACTTTTCAATGAAAGTCCTCGATGTAAAAAGCCACGTGCATCCGAGTAATTAAGGAGGCACGATTCTCGAGCGCATTAGACCCCCGCGGACACTCGTAATTTCCTTATCTCTAACGACGTCTGCCGTGATGCAAGCGGAAATGCCCACGTGTCGCGGCGTGAAACGGAAGAAAGATGGTCCGCGAACGGGTAATGCAATCGAAACTCTCCTCGTCGACGTGCATGCATACCTCTCGCGATGGGATGATACTGGTCTCGACCTGGCTGTCACTTTCCATCGAAGCGTAAACAGCTAGATCTCTCCGTTCGACGAAGAATTTTTTGAAAAATTACTTTCTCTAGTCTCTTTCTCCCGCAATCTGCGACACGATAATAAGTTTCCAGCGAGTTTAAAGCGCTCGTTATAAAACGGAGGTACGTTCGCGGATGATCGAAATGTTTCCTACCGCGGAAAAAAAAGGGGAGGAGGAAGAATTTGAAAGAGGTCTGTAGAAGTGCACGCCCATTTTCAACCACTCCTGCCAAATTGCCTGTAATTATCTTTCAATACGAGCGATTAAACTATTAAACTTTCGGTTTAGCGTTGTTCGAGTCGGAGAGTTGGAGTGCGTAACAACGTTTCAACGTCAGTTCTGATTCTCGAATCGCATAATAATCGCTGATCCTCGATCGTTATCCGGTGTTTAGTTGCGCGCGGGTGTAACGATCGTGTCGAAAAACTCGACGACGAGACGCAAATTCGCCCGAATGCTCAGAGATTGCACTCATCGAACTCCGGTGGTTTGATCGTCGCGATTAAAGTTTGAAAAATTGATCAGTCGGGGATCAAGTTGCGCTTGCACGTCGCTTGGACGTTAATAAAATTCCCCTCAGGTGTTCGGCAACCCACGTGTGATCGGAAATTACTATCGTCGGGTCTATTATTCATCCGAATGAATGCGCGCATCGTCGTTTGTAAGTGTTGGAATCCACCTACCGATCTCGTAATAATTGTCCCAAATTACCAAGGAACCGATTAATCGATCGGATATCTGCATTCGGGCAATCCCAATGATTATACCACCTCGATCACAAAACGTAAAGTCACTTTTCCACTGTCGGGTTTGTCAAATTTTTCACAATTTCCTTCGAAATTTTTTCCAATCTAATTGCTCTCTCAATTGCACAAACTTCGTGCCAGAGAATTTATTCATCAACGCGTAATAAAAATTCCAAATAAATCCCCATTTATTTCTTTATAACACGAACATCGTCTCGAAACGTTGTCGATTCACAAAGTTGCAATCGATCAGCCGACGTCCCGACCGATCGTTTACGATCGAGTCACCTGTTCGGTGATCTCGATCGAGGTATCACCTTGAAAAGTCGTTATCCGTCTTAGCCGGTGAAACGCAATGACAAAACTGGTGGGTTCGAACGCGGTGCAGCGTGTGCACGAGCAAATCACCTGCGTCTATCGATGTGCAGCAGCAGCGGCGGCGGCGGCGATGCCGTAATAACGCCGGCACGCTTGTGCCAGAACCAAAGTATACGCTCGGTGTACACGACCTAAATAAGATGCGATGCCCCCCGGGGCGAAAGTAATTCACAGACACACGCGTGCATCGGGGATACACACGTACTGCGGCCGGGCTCGGGCTATAGTTTACCAAGTGCCGCAGGAACGCGTCGACCGCTTTACTCTAGCTTCGACCCGCGTTTTTTCGATTTCTGCACGCGGCGCGTCGTTTGAAAAATAACACGTCAGTCAGCTGGTTATTTGTATCACTGCGACGATGCAAGCGAGAAATGACGATCTCGAGGAATAATTTTCTTAATAGCGAATAAATGAACGATTCTCCTAGGAGAGAAACAGAATTGGCCTGGAAGTTTTAGCGTTGAAACTAATAAACCCTAAAGGTGTGTTAAATCAGAGCGATACGTTATCGCTTATCTACGCTGGAATTCAAAAGTGGGAGTTAATTTTCACCGTGTAACCCAAACCTGACCTAAATCTCGAGCCCTGGCTAATGGCAGGGTTTTACCCCGTCGCATGCATTCGTTAAAGATGTATAAATCTATCGAATAGTATAGTGACACGGAGTCGCATCGTGGTACGTAGATATAGATCGTGTGTCCCGTTCGATCATTTTAACGTCTCTACGTTGCCGATCTTCCTGGTACCCTTACGTCGTTCGTGTTCGATCGTTCTTATAAACTTCGGCGACCCTTGTAAAATTTCGCCAACAATGTTATTTCGATCGTACGAATATTTGTACACATCTCCAATTGTGTATCCCGGATGCACGCAACCTGCAGGAGTACGTGTGACGCGTTTATTGGAAAATACGTAGCGTTGGAATCGCGTGTAGTATTGCCCGATGTAAAATCGGAACAGCGTTGCATCGTTCGCCTGCGTCGGAGTTAACGAAGATCGACCGCGAGTTTACACGTTGTCGCACGGTAAGCGTGCTAACCGCGTGATAATGGACGTGTAGATGAATTGGAGGACCGTTAACTGGCGATAGACGTCGAGATGGCGTTATCACCGACGGCGATTACGCTCGTGTTCGATGTGTTCCGGTGGTTATGCCGCGTCGATTCGATTTAGGGAACGATTCGAGATAGAATGGTAGTTACAACTGATTGGACACGGATTAAAGGAGAGTCTCGCGTCATGTCTATAACGTACGACCAAGTAACTCTGCGGTGTTTTAGCAGGTGACGAGTAATGGAATTAGAAAAATAATTTGCCACGGCGTCGCGTTACAACACGGAAACCGTAGATAATGTTCGAGAGGAGAAACTCCAAAAAGAAAGTGAAAGCTGCGTGTCGATGAAAAAAAGAAAGAAATTCTCGAAAGATTCTCACTAGATCGAAACGCAGGCGCGGACGATCCCGCAGAGAGAAAACGAAACAAAACAGAAACATCCGATAAGCGTAGCGCAGAGATATTCGTGGAAAAAACCGCGAACCGGCGCGCAGCGAGTCGCGAAAGGGGTTAACGGTTCATTATCACCCCATTTCATCGGTAGGCGCAGCACACCGGCACGGAACTCGAGCAACACCGGCGGAGAGACGGTATATCGGTGGGATGGAGTGGTGGTGTGCACAGATGTGTACATGTGTCGGCGTGTGTGTAGAGTTATGTACACACATACACGCACGCACGCACGCACGCACGCGCGCACACACTGTATAAAAGTGCATGTTGGGGACGGGACGCGTGGCGAACGAGAAGGCCCGCTAGCCGCGCGGAGAATAGAGCGAGGAAAGAGGGAAGAAGAGAGTGTGCAGAGGAGAGGGAAAGAAGAAACGAGGAGTGCATCGAGTCAGTGGGCTAGTGGGGCCGACAGAATGTAGCCCGTACTACGGTACATCGTCTCCCTCTTTATCTCTCCCTCGTTCCTTCCGTTCTTCCTTTCTTCCTTCTTTCCCACCGTGTCTACCTAGCTCTCTTCCTCCCCCGGCTCTGTCTCTCTCCATCCGACCTAGCAGCCTCTATGCATCGTCTCGTCTTTTTTCTCCTCTCTCTACCCGTTCTCCGCCGCAAACCATATATAATAGCGGGTTTGCTATTCGCCTCGGTGTGTAGGTCGTGGTTGCAACCGTGCAACGGGGTTCTCCCTGCGTCTCTGTGTGCGAACACTCGCCTATACGTACGTATATACACTTGCCTCTACATACGCGTAGGAGATACGCTGCAGAACGGCGCACGAACGAAACTACCGTACTACATATGTATGTATATATAGTATATACATATGTACGTCTCTGTGTGCACCGAAACGTATATATATACATATATACGTCGAACGCGGTACACACGCACGTACGTACGTAATGTTTTTTGCACGATTATACAATGATAGAAGTGCGTGCAGCGTCTACGGATTAGCGTGGCGGCGTGTTTACCGGTGCACTAAATATAGTAGCGATACGGTTCATTAGAGCACTCCAGTGTGCACTCCGCGGCCGGTCGTGTGTTTACGTGTTAGGGACAGTCGCGCGTGCACGCACATAAGGGAATCGCGATTTTTTTTTCGCGCGCGCTTTCGTCGCGCAGGTTATTGCGTAACGCCGTTGCCGTGTACGACAGCCGCGTCGTCACACACGTGCACATCCCCGTTGCCCTGCGAATCACGGTGACACAGTTCATTACACGGCCGCACTGTGTATCACCTATATATCTGCCTTGTGTATACATACCTCGGCCTTACCGTATCCACCGCGCCGCGTAAATGACGAGCACCTTGCATGTACACGGCAGTCTCTCTCTTTCCACAACGTGTACATGCTCTCTATACGCAGGTGTGTACACACAAAAGAGAAAAAAGAGAACCACACGTACATGTGCAGGCAGACGTTTATTCTCGTCGCATGCACACGTGTTAGACGCGCGCGCGCGTGGCGACGCAAGGGAGGTGTACACACAGCGAGTAGAGTCGCGAGTGTTGTGGGCACATGGCACATGTCCTAGAGAAGAAACACGCACAGGCCTCCGTGCGAAGCGCGGTATGAAAGCAGCCGGAATAGGCGGTCGCTGGATGCGCTGCCGTCCTTCCCTGTGTGCACACGTCTCTATGTATAGACGCGTATGGATAGAAACGTATATAGGCGGGTGGGTGGTTAGGTGGGTTGGGTAGGCAAGGCAAGGCAAGGCAGGCTCGGCTGGTGGTCGCTCGGTTGCGAGGTTCGCTCGATAGCAAAGTGCGGTTCCCCTCGACACGAGCTCTCTCGTACTTGCAACGCGGCAGGATTAAAGGGGAACAGCCCGTGTACGGAAATGCACGATCGATGCGCACATGTCTGAATTTTCGTGTCAAGTCGTGACCGATCGACCACGTTCCGCGGTTACGCGACGCCCTCCTTCCTTCTTCCCCTCCACAATTCCGTCGTTTTGGTTCTCGTCGAGATTTCTTTTCGAAGAACTCTTACTCCTTTTACTTTCTCGGAGTAATTTGATTGTTCCTCGGTGACGAGAAACTTTCTGGTTCTTCTTGGAATTTTAATAGAGTTTAACCAAGACAGCGGAGCGTTTCTCTCTTTTTTTTTAACTAATATAAAAATACATACAAACGGTTGCAGACGCTGATTTCGATTTTATTTTTCTCCCTTGGAAACTTCCGCTAGCAAGTTCTTTCTCTACCCTGTTTTTTCGACGACGAAGATTTCGGTTCTATTTCCCTTCTTGGAATTTTTATTCATCAGCCGAGAACGTCGAGAGATGTTTCTCGTGCAAAACGTGAAAGACGAAAAGCTGTGCATAACGGTTGCTGATTTCAATTCCGTTCTTCTCTCTTCGAAATTTTCCAGAGCATTCGTCCCTCGGGACGTTTGGACAACGAACGACGAAGAATTTCGTCGTTCCTCTTTGGGAATTTCGATGGAGTTCTCGATCGTAGATATATAGTTGGTATTTCCGAAGCGACGCGAACGACCGAAAGACGATCGATCCGATCCGAGGCGAGGCGAGGCGAGGCGAGCAAAACGCTTTTGCCGTTTCCTTTTCTCTTTTGCCCCGCGCCGAGCAGTGTCTCGTCGTAACGGGATGCAACGCGTTAATTAAATTCGCGATTTAACGGTGTCGAGTGTTCGTGTGACAAGTGCACGGGCGCATATGCGAGTAGACGAACACGTCAACGTGTGCCGAACACGATACCCCGTCTCTCGAAACACGTGCGTGTCGCCTCTCTGGTTTATCCTATCTTCTTACACCTCTTCTCTTCTCGCGTTATACTCTCTTTTTACTTATCTCGTGACACGTGGCTCGTGTGATTGTTGTCTTTCATCGTGTTCCGTGTCGCTTCGGTTACACTTTCGTTCAATTTCCTTCGCGCGCGTGCAACACTCGCAGAACGAGATACGGAACGACAACTGTGTACGTGCGTGCGTGAAATGTCTGAAATTCTCGAGAGATCGTCTCGCAGAATCGAATCTTGTCACTTGCAAAAAAATGAAACGTCGTTCTTCAACCTTTCTTTGTTTCCGTGGAACCCGGATTTCCCCCAAAAGCGAATTTCTTCAAAGGTTTTTTTTTCCCCCCACAGAGGTGGTGGCAAATTTTCGCGAGTGTAGCAAAAAAATAAAAAAAAAATAAAAAAATGTGAAAGCGAACAGCAGCGAGCGAAACGACGAGCAACGACACGAAGGAGTTGGCAAAGATGCTGACCGCGAGACTGTTTGCAGATCGACGATCTTGGAAGGTGAGAGAGAAAGAGAAGAGGCCCCGTGGCGCCATGTCACGCGAGGTGCCGGCAACGAAAGCGACGAGGAAAGCAAGGGACGAGACGATCGTAACGTCGACGATCACGACGTGCAGCAGTCGTGCGCTCGGTGGTGTGCTTCGACTTGGCGGCGATTAAGGCTGGCCGGCTGGTCGCGGCAGGACGTTCATTAGCCAAGGTGCTGACGATACTAATAACAGTAGAAAGGTGATACGCGGTAAACCGTGTCACGCAGTGGCGTAGGGCGAGTCGGGGTGGCGTGGCGGAGGCGGAAGAGGAGGTGGAGACGGAAGTGGACGATGACGATGGACACGGTGTTGACGTAATACCGGTGAAAAAGAGGGAGAGAGGACGCGCGTTGCGTTGTTTGCACGCTTGGAATCGGTTCGTCATACCGGTATAGTGTGATACATCTCTCTGTAGTACATACACCAATATATATATATAGATATACACGCGCGTATACAAATACGTATAGTAACAGTGTTTTTACATCTCCGACGAGGGAGAAAGAGGGTGCAAAAGAAGAAGAAAAAAAAAAAAAAAAAAAAAAAAAAAAAAAAAAAAAGAAACGGGTTTCAGTGCCGTTCGTCGTAAGTGCGTAAGGAATAATATATCGAGCTTAATAAGTAATCAGTAGGCAAGTAGGGAAGAGAGAAAAGTGTCGCTAGGAGACATAGTTTTGTTAACGATCATCGATTCGACAATATATTCAGCATCGAGAGCAGTCGAGAAACCTTGAAGAGGGGAGTGAAGTAACACGACAGTAGAAACACGACACGTTCGATCGTACGAAGTGAATGAAATTCGTGTCCAAGTTCCGGGGAAAGATCGTTGGTGGTGCACATAGTACAACAACGTGTTACGATAATACACAGAGAAAGAGAGAGAGAGAGAGAGAGAGAGAGAGAGAGAAAGAGAGAGTAATCAAGGAAACGACAGTCGACTGTACTACTGTACTACTGGTAGAGAAGATAATCGAGTGACAGGTGGTGAGCCAGGAGAGCATTAGATAGTAAGCATTGGAAGTGGAATAACAGCTGGGAAGGGCAGCCGTCTGGCTGGACGAAGAGACGTGCTCTCTCGCGGGTGGCGTCGCGGAGCCGCCGCAGCGGATGTTACGCCGGGCTTGTAAAGGGTGCCGGGTGACCTACGGGAGTAGCAGCCTGGAAGTGACTAAAGGCCATCACCACGGCGTTCAACATGTTCGAGATGTGGAGCGCGGTGAGTTCCAAGTTGGAACACTCCGCGACCTCCTCGGGCTCGCCGTTACCTCTGACCTCGCACGCACCGCAGACGCCCCATACCTCGTCCGGGAGCATAAAAGGTAACGAAAAAGCTCCGTTACGATCAGTCTGTATGCGTGTACGTGTGTCTGTCTGTGTGCCCATGTGTGAGAATGTGCCCATGCCCTGTGTGTACGCGTACACACGTGTTACAGAAACACGTTCCCACGACGATTGTGTACGATCTTAAGGAAAAAGAATCACGCGTACGGTACGGGCCGGTTCGTGATGGCCTAACGTGAATTTTCTAATTCCGCTCGTGTCGGAGAACCGTTGTACGCCGGGACCCATGGAATCGCCGAGTTTACATAACGTCCTTTCGAGAATAATGCGCTCCGTGCCTACTAGTACTTAAACTCGAAAGTAGAGTGTGTGCGTGTTTTTTTCTTTTCTTTTTTTTTTTTTCGTTCTTAAGTAAGAAATAGTTAGTAGGCGGAGTCGCGGAGTACCTTTGCCGGAATGATATTGTTTCATACGAGGCAATGAGCAATTCTCTCGTACTCTAGAATTTTTACGACATTCTTCAACGAAAACCAGTTTCGAGTTTAACGAGAAATTCCGCCTGCGAGAAGTTCGACTTTTAACCTCGGTCGGGAGTAATCGAAGGATTTGCGGGTAATCCGAGAGTGAGCGTTAACTCCTGTAATAAGCGTAGGAATATTCCGGTTCGGCAGGGACTTCAGCTTCTTGAGAGAACGGACGATAAACTCGGCTTACGTAACGTGTACTTTTCGCACATTCGAAGTTCGCGAACCTGCAGAATTTCCAGTCAGCCGCGGCGGGGGCGGCGAGGGAGGCGGGGGAGGTTGGTTGATTCGCGGCGCGCACCCGGCCGTTCACTTTGCACGTTGAGTTTCACTGGCAGTAGATTAGGAGGTTCGTCGTCGGACAACGCGCGCCCGAGAATCCGTACACGGCGATGCCGCGTTAACGATCGCTAACACGACGAGCAAATTTTGCTCAACGTTGTCAAACATGCGGGACCGTGGAGAAGAGAAAAGGATAAGGAAGGAAAGGGAAGGGAAAAAAAGAGACGAGAAAGATGGAACATTCTTGATTCGTGTCCCGCGATGGACACAGCCGCGTTCGCACCGCGCGGCCAAAATCCCAATTTGCGGCGCTTTCATAATTTCAATATACGAATTTCAGCGCGAAAGTTCCCCGGTGGAATTCGCCGCGCGGCAGCCAGACGTCGTTTTACATTATTTGCACGGTGCTTACTTACGGTCGCAAGTTAATTTCATTTACGCGGCTCGCGTCCGCTCGTCGCGGCCAAGTTACGTCATCGGGGAGCCATTCGTAAAATTCTCGTTTCGAATTTCGCGCGCGCGCGTAACATTCTCCGACTTTAATGGCCCAATAAACGGCTAGTAAATTGTCTCGTACAAACGCGAGAAACATGTTCGTCACCGTCGATTATTCGATTCCGTTATCGCGCAAGATTGCTAGAATTGATCTCAAACATTGGGCTGCGTGATTGATGTGGCTTCCGAAATGATCGGCCAACTAGATAACGTCGAAACGTCCTGCGTAAATATGTATCGATTCACGGGCGTGTGCGCACGGCAAATGATCGTTAACCGAAGGTTTACAGTGAACGACGATTTTGCCGAATAACCTACGATCGTTATATGTATGTATATATATATATATAATATATCAGTCCTCTTGATCTTGGAAGTAATTGAATTTCGGTTAACGTGAGTTAAATCGATTCGATCAATTGGCTTTATCAATTAATTTTCGGTATTGACGTGCCAATAGAACGTTATTAGAACATTTGAAGAACGAAATATATTTGCGTTTTGATTCAGTTCCGTAAAATTGAGTATTTCAAAGTTAACTTCGAAGAGGACTGTCGTGAAATGTTTTATAATTTTTCTACACTGTTAGAAATATCCCAAAGCGACCGAAAGAGAGGAAAGAAAGAAAGAAAAAAAAGAGGAAATCGGTTAGAAACCGGCAGCAAGGATACTCCGAAACGTTTCAAAACTGCTTTTACGATGTCGCGAACCGCGCGCCGTACCGAATACAAATACACGCTGGAAAGCACAGATTCGCCAAGCGTGTCGCAGCACGATACGCGAGTTTTACTTTTCAAAAATCGTCCATGAGAATGATACACGATACGTCTTCGTTATACCAAAGCGAAGAGTGTACGAAAAAAAAAAAATAATAATAATAAACTCACGATAAAAAAATACTAGTCCTGAGGATGCGGCTGGTTGTCAAATTTCTGCGGAGCATAAAGTAAATTAAAAAAATTCTACGAAAATCTTTATGAAAGCGAACGAATTTCACGGAATTTCTACGGGAATGTCGGCTAAATCAGCTCGCTGTGCTAATTCTACTTTTAACCGGGCTTAATCGCGCTCGAACAACAAACATCCAACACGCGGTGGAAGTGTTGCCGCGTGTTGGTCACGGAGAGCGAACACGAAGCGCCGAGAGTGATCGCTAATGAAACTTCAAATGAACGATCAAAGCTCGCAGCCACGAGTCTCTTGTTCAAACTGCGGAACTTTATCGACTCGGAGACGTCGAAGACACTAACCAGAGAGAGAGAGAGAGAGAGAGAGAGAGAGAGAGAGAGAGAGAGAGAGAGCGCACGAGAGAGAGTGTGGAGAGAGGCAGGCGGGCAGCAGCAGCGTATCTTGGCAAGTTTCACAGAAATCGTTTCGTAGGAGTGTGACGAAGGCGCGGTTTCCACGAAGCGCAGGGAAAACGCGTGTTCGGTTGGAAATAGCCAAAGGACAGGGACGGTTTCAAAAGCGAGTAGACGATGTCGCGAGAGTCATAGCCGTCCCGAATACGAATACACGATCGAAACGCGGCGAGTAAATTATGCAAAGCGAAAGTACCCACGTAAGAGCGGGTTGCGCAAAGGCTTCGTAAGAAGAACGCCCGTAACGTCGGCTGGTAATGTCCTGCTTCGCGATGACGAGGAAACAAAATTTCGCCCCGACGTCTGTCGTGCCCGTTTCTACAGTTTTGAATTTCTCTGTCTGTTATCTCGATTTGCCCGCGTGCTTGTTTGTCTTCTTGACGTGCGAATAGTTGATTTGATGGTCAGTGATTTAATTAAAAAAAAAAAAAAAAAAGAATTGAAAGTACGAAGTAATGTTTTTTCGTGTGACAATTTATATCCGTACTTAAAGTTTGGAAATTTGCAAGACTGCACGTGAAATTGGGTAGAAATGGATAATTCTACGAAAATAATTACGAGAACAATGGTTCTCCGTTCGAAGCTTCTCGTTCTCGAGGAAATTAAATTTGAAAATTTCCAATGTACGCACGTTCCCAGCTAATTGACTGTACCGAGTCCTATTTTCTTGAAAACGTAATCTGAACGGGAAACTAATACCATTCTGTATTTTTTGCCTATTTTCTCGCATACAGAATAACCATCGGGCGATCGTTCCCCCAGTTCGTAATTAGTTCGCGTATAGCGGCTGCAAAATTTATTCTCCAATAAACCGCTATTTTATCAGGTTTCGCGTTTCATTTTCATTCTATCAAACTTTCGCAGTCGTACGAGAGTACGAAATTTAATATACTTCCCTGGCCATTGCACATTCGCATATTCTACATTACATAGTGTTCGAGCAGGGTTGATTCTGTTATTCCGAAAGAAATTTGAGGTTGCAGGAATTATTGGCAAATATATGAGCGAGATATTAACATAAACAGTGGGTTAGCGAACGCTTCTCGTACATACGTGTATAATGCTCCGGGTCAAAGTGTTTGCGTCTATTTAGAAGTGAACTATGTTCAATAAAATTTCACGATATTGGAGTAACAATAGTGCGCTGAGCGAAAATTACTCGAATAAATTTCAATCTTGGCCGTGTAACTGTGTTACAAAGTTCCTAATCGTCTAAAATATACCGTTCTTCGACTAATTGGATCGCGCTCTTTTCAATAATCGAAGGCACTATCTCGTATATTTTATCGTCTGATATATATATAATATACAAAGGCTCTCAAGATATACAATAGCTTGTTAAGTGAGATATCTGATAAACTCTAGCGATATATTTATCATAAAGTGACATTATAATTAGTACATTTATCGTAATTAGTGACATCCGCAATATCGTTCTCGAAAGTTGTGCCGTTTTTCGAGCTTCCAAGTAACGCGGGAGTATTGTTTTCAACGATACTAGGGCAAAGGACACTGGATAACTTTTCAAAAATTGACGAAATAAAATTTTGATCTGAATTGAACAGCTGCTCCACAAATGTTTGTCACGAGCATATTTATAAAGTTAATTGTGCGGCTGAAAATTATCTGAAATTCAGAGGAATACATAACAGACGAATTTCAAATATAGTAAATTCAGTTTTAATATATTCGACACGGTGACGTCAATTACAGCCGAATAGTCGATTCTTTTATTCGATCAAGATGAAATTCAGACTCCGATTGTCAGTTAAAGCGAAGTCACGGTTAAATATTTCATTACACATTGCAAAGGAATGAAACGGTTGGACGGAAATAAATCAAAAATTTCGGATAGCTGTTTCGAGGGAACGATGTTGCAATAGAAACGACAGAGGAAGAACAATTGTTCATCGATTTCGCAACACGGCTTCGACCCTCGACCCGAGCAATAATTTCATGGCATTAGTCAGATCGTTGACGGTTAATAAAATCAAATAATCGCGTGCTTTCCGCGTGTCGTTCGATCCGAGAGCTACGAACCGATAACGATGATTTCATCGTGTTTCTCTCGCGCCGCGGAGAAGAAGAAGGCGTCTCTAATAACGACGGCTTATTAACGAAACGTGGCGAACGTTTCGGGAACGATGTTCAGGAAATTAAGTAATTTCGTTCGATGGAAAAATAAATTGCGTTGTTTCGCAAGCAAGCCGGCTTCTCTTCGCGGAGGTACCATTATATCGTCGCTGTTACTTGCGACAGTAATTGTCCATCTCTCGTCGTCTATCGATTCTATTCGCGGAACAAAGATGGACGAGATTTCTTTCCCTTCTTTATTCGAAGGATGACCTTATCTCGGAATCTCCATTCGTTTAATTA